CTACTACACTTATCCTTATTTGATGCTCACAAATAGTTTTATAGCATATGTAGTCTATTCTCCATGTAGATAACTTTTGTGCTACAGTAGTACTTGAGCTTCTGAAATGATATTATTGTAATAATCGTGCAGTGACTATGTATCAAATGAAATAATGCATAATAAGCAGTAGTTAGTTTGATCTTTGGGGAAATTTGTTTCAGTTTGTCAGTCAAAATGTTTAATGTGAAGTTTGAAACACGAAGTAGGTGTTAGATATCGATATATTTAGTTATTCACAAGAAATGGACTGCGTGTCTATGATTTGCGACTTGTTGAAAAACGAAAAGAGCAACTTTTGAATAAAAAATAAATGAAATAGCGAACAGGTTAATTCTATGTTTTCAAATACATTGCAGTTATCCACATTAGCTAATGTCAGATTTTTGACTAAAAGTTATAAGCGACATAGATCAGCTATTCATAAAATTTTTCCGAATTTTCGCTAGCATCTTAATAGGGGTGACAGGATTCAGAACGATTTCAATGCTATACTTTGGATGTGGTGAATTTTATTATGATTCTAATCTCCAAAATTCAATTTCAATTCATTCGCGAAGCACATACTGTGCGCAAGCACACTCAGAGCCTACTTTTAATATTGAAGACTCCTAATATTTATATCTTGCTTCGCACAAACGAAGTGGTTAATTACGTAAATGGTTTATTCGTATTGGGGTGCTGATTTTAACCAGACATTTTACTGTATTTCTTAAGAGGATGCATTGATGTTCTTTTTTTGTATTGATAAATTCATTCGACTCCAAACAGCCATGGACTAGACCGACTTTAACGAATAATAATTCCCTTAATACTGCAACGACTTGAGTCATACGGAACGATCAATATACATATAGCGAATTCTAACTGTTTAAATGTCTAGACAAATCGTACTAGACAATAGAAGTCGGTAACTGGGAGATTCTTTTGAACTGCTGCAATTTCACAAAATGTAGAAAAAACAATAAGAGTGTATATCAAATTTGTCGAATGTCACAGTCAGGGAAACTGTTGTTGACAACGGCTGTAGTAGGTAATTGCCTTTCTACTTGGAAACGAAATGTCAGGACATGGATGTGTTTAAAACTGTAGCAGCAATAAATGATTTAATCACATCAAAGTGTCAAAATCGTGGTTGATGTGATCTGCGAAAAGGGACTAAAGCTGTCAGGAGAGTCAAAATGCCTGTCATTGTCATTGTTAAAATAAAGTAGCACAAAAGCCCTTGAAAACAGAGGTCCAGTTTGAAAAAAACATAAGGGCGCTGCGATAATGGTTAATGGCTATTGTCACTGCTTTGAGATGTTGTTTTACGAGATAGGCTAACTAATAAATAATTAGTGTTTATATTATATATGTCGTTCGTTGTCCTTTATTCTAATCTCTATGGTTTTATGTTAGTGGTGATTCAGAATCCCATGGGTCATGGCCTTGGTTTGCGCAGTGGCAAAACTCCATCCGTTTAATGATTTGTACATCTATACCTCTTAAAAGCATCCTCGGTTGTATAGCGAAGCACGTGGTTAACAGTCCAGTCAGAATTTTGGAATTGTGCAATATTAATGGATTTAAAGAAACGTAAATTTTTGGTTGCTTCTGGTTTTGCTTCATTCCCACCAGTTAGTAATGCTGGTGGATGGCCAGTCCCTCCGGACTACGGCCGTTAGGGGCAGAGCGAACGACCCTTTTTAGCCTCGTTTTAGGTCGTCGTGCGAACGGGTGGGTGGTGGTTGGGATGAGGCAGAACAGTCGGACAAAATGAAGATAGAAAAGAGTGGAAGATTATCTGTGATCCAAGGTAACCACAGAAAAACTTGAACCAGGCATTCGAAGCTGGGACCGAACCGGTGCCTTCCAAATGCTGAGTCATGATCTGAACCTCTAGGCTATGTCATAAGGTCCACCTCTCATGCATTTCGTGGCCCATAGGGTTTTGAAATGCCTACCTCTAGTTATCCTACCAGACTATATCAACTAAATTTTGCGGTTTTATTCCAAAACTCATTCCGAATAGAATGGTTTTGTCTTTTTACCTGAAATACATCAACTATTTTCCGTTTAAAGAATGTATGGATCAGGCTTTCAACTTTTGCAATTCCATAATGATTATTAAAACACAAACTGTTTAGTCGCAAATTATAGTCATTGTTAAAACAATAATTATTTCATAGAACACAGTGTCTTCTTCTGATTTAATAAATTATATAGTGAAATAATTATTATGGAAACAATAAATATAATTTCCAAATAATTTTAATTTAAATTTTATTTGTTTAGTTTCGTGTTGTTACATTATTTCTGTCGCTACGTTATTGATGTTCATGATATATTATGTACATGTTTACTAAAAAAGCTTTGTTCTTTCAAACTAAGAATGTACGCTATGATAAACACATTTTAATTTTTGAAATGAGACAGAATGGAACTGTCTGAATTTTTAAAGCGGCTTCTGACACTGCAAAGTGTCACCAGCAACGTTGTGCTTGCATGAATATTAACAATTTCAAGAAGCGAGAAACTTTTGTCATTTTGTGTGCTTAATTTTTAAATTTCTGGTAAGATATTCTCCGAACCACAGGCACTGGCGCTAAATGACACGGAAAATGAGCTGCGGCTCTGTTGTTTCAAATGTGCATATTTTTGCGCTTTTTTGTTGGAAACTGACAGAAGAAGAAGCTTTGCTGTCTGAAGGACGCTTCTAATGCAGTAAATGTTCTCTTGACATTCAGACGACTTTTTTCTGTTCACTAAAGTTGTAAAAATTCCAACCGAAATTAAAGATTTTTTTAAATTAATTCTATTTTATTATTTATTTAGAAAATACAAAAAATTCATAAGAACTTAGTTGTACTTACTTAAAAAATAAAACTAGTGAGCTGTAACGTGTATGGAGACATACCAAAACCAAAACTGACTGGTAACAGACTTGAAAGCACCACAGTTTTGATCACTTTTTTTTTGTTTAATTTATCCTCGAGGAGGGGAAATGTTCAAGAGACAACCCCTGAAGGGGGTAGTGTCGGATTCGCCGAAGCGTCTACCGACTAAAGCCCCTCCTCGAGTAGGGATGTCAACCCGAAAGTTATTACTCCCAAAAGTTTTGATAACAACTCATCCCAACTTATATTACCCCCTTCTTTTGGCTGTCATGGTGGTACCTACTATTAACGAACATTACGATATCTTTTTCTAAGTTTTCAACAGATGGATAATGGTAATATGCCAATTTTATTCGACAAGTTGGCAATGCATAGATAAGAATGAATTTCATTTTCCAAATATAAAAAATTCACATCGTTGTTAGCAACAACCGTTTTATTTTTGAGATAAAAAGACTCTGAAGAAATCGAGCAATTTTTTCCATTAAAGGAAATTAAAATATGTATGTACCTATGCTGTACTTTTAAACAAAATAATAGAATTTTACGAATTCAGTAAGTTTTGATGAGTCCTAATAAGTAGTAGGTGATATAGGGTGTTCTTATTCCCAGCAGTTACTAATGCTGGAGGGCTAAAAGTATCACCGAACTACCACACAGGGTAAGGCGAAGGGCTCTCTTAAGTCTCCTTTTAGGAATTATGAGAATGGATGACTACTGGTTCACGTGAGAAAGATGAAATGAATAGAGAAGAATAGTAAGAGATTATCTGTGGAATGTTATTACTGACCTACCATTTGCCTAAGTAATTCAGGGAAAACTTGAATCACGTCAGATGGATCCAGAATCGAACTGGAATCCTCTCGAATGATAAGCAAGGGTGTAAAGCTTCAGGTCATGTCGCTTGGTTGTCCATCTGAATCAGCGACTCAGTGTACACATGGTGTAACATAAATAAGTAAGGAGCTTCGGAAGGTGCAATAAGGAATCGTCTAGTGAGTTCAACAGCATGCTTACGGGCAAAAGAAAACTGGGATGAACATTCTGCAACTACACCGATGGAGAATGTAAGCAGTGTCGGCTATAGAATATCTAAGATAAGATAAAAATGAATTAAATAAGTCAATTTGTTCATAGTTGACAGCTAGCAGTACTATATAAAAGTAGATTTCGCAGTCATTAAAAGACAAATGAGCACTATCTAGGTAATTCTAATTTTAATAAGGCAAATTTATGTAGGTGGTTTGCCAATAGCCCTATTTTCTCTCTACAAAAAGTTAATTATTTAGTGATTTTTTCTTGTAAGTGAACGCATCGCTTCTTTATCGCGGAGTTATTGGTTCCGGAAATAACAACAACTCATAAGCAAATACAAAAGAAATACAACACTGATGCTGCTATTTACCAGCTGATTGAATGCGGCGCTCTATTGTCGTATTTTTTACCAGGGTCGGAATTAGATTTGCTTGTACTTTTAACTAAATTTTTTTCGAAAACGGCAAATTTTTACTTAATTTTGTTGTTTTATACTTCTCTATCATCTCTCTCAAGCTCCGTACTGATAGATAGGTCATATGTTAACAACCACAGTCACGCTAACCAAATTAGTAAGAACCGTAGCACCAGATTTAGTTTTACTGCTGTAATTGTAACTTATATCAACTTGCGTTTATGGAATTCCGATTTGGTAGGCGATTTATGCAGACCTATGATCGAGGCAGCCTTTGGCGTACACGGAGAGAAAAATCTATTACCATGCTGAGGCAGTAAAAACTCCTATGCTTTCTAGTGAAGTTTATAAGGTTCTCTTACAAAAATTATTGGATTAATACTGAATTTTGTCAATGCATGTTTCATGCACCCACATTATAGTGACGAACATGGTAATTTTCTCTACGTGTACTGAAATTATGTAATAATATCGAAATCGCTGCCACATCTGGTAGGTTCGATAAATTACTGAATACGAACTTATACCGTTTAAATTTTACTTATACTTTTACTTACAAAATTAATTATATTTAGCAATTGTGCGCATTTTTCCTGTTTTATTTAAATTAAATAATATTTTCCTTGTTTCAGGTGGTCCTTCGTTTCACATTCTACGTTTCTCCGAATTAGTAGCTGTAAGTATTTTTATGTTGAATTATAACTTTTTTGCATAGAACAAATATCCACATCCTTATCCATATCTCATCCGGATCTCCACATTGTGATGAGGATATTTGGTGAATGTTTGTTGTGCTGCAATGCTACCACGTTAAACACCATATGTAGGAAAACGGTTGAGGTGAAATCATGCCGCTAGTATACGTATAACAATTACTATTATATAAATAAACAAAATCATGTCTCAAGTATTTGAAAATGAACTGAGTTCTCGAAATGTATAAAAATTAAAGGATTAAGTAGTACTAACAATTCTGCTAATGTCAAGTATTTTCGAAGAAAAACTACATATTCATATCTTCATCTTCACCCGCTTCCTCAAATCTAGAATTTCAATAATCTGAGCCTTCATCCGCAACCGCAAGCTTAACCTCACTAAAGTTTACGTCTTATCTAAAGCGCATTCGTTACAACCCTAATAGACACTAAGTTGTAGTTGTCGTCCTTGATAAGGTCTGTGTTAATCAAAACTGTAAAAAATAACTATTGACGGTTTATGAAGCTTAAGAAGCATGGGAAAGCGTGCTCGTGTTTTAGATAAAAAAGCTCAATTTATTTCTGCTAACCTATGTTATAATATTTAGATAATATAAACACCTTAGAAAAGCCAACAGTCGTATTTGTTTTAAACCCTAAAATCTCAAGGCCACTGTTTAAACTCTTGAATAAATATTTTTATTGGCTACGTTACAGTCTTGCAGAAGCGGAAAGATGAGGTAAAGAAAGAGGGAAAGGGACAGGTATTGTTCGCATGGTCTTTTTCTCTCTTTCTAGAGAATGGTCACTTTCATGAGGGTTTTGCTTCAGTTCATTCTCTATGTCAATGGTTCCATTGCATATTTTGGTATTGACCACTGTCGTAAGCTACTTTCAATTTTTATTAAATGTCAAATTTTAAAAGGATTCTCATCTCACAATCCCTCACTTGTAAACTAAATGACAGGACAGGCACACAGAGCATTATTTATTATTTCATTTAAAACCAGGCTTTTCCCCACTTTTTAAATAGATTTTAATAAACTCCGTTTTCAAAAAAATTATATGTTCATATATTTTTTATAATACCATGCGGCATATGTCAAATTATTGTAAATTTGACATCCTCATTCATAACGCGAGGTAGGTGTGGGACACTCACATTTTATGAGAGTGAAAGAGGCGGGTCTGCCCTTTTACAACACTAGAAGAGTGTCTTTTGGTGGTGGCGGCAAATGATGGCGCGTGGAGTAGAGGTGAAAAAACTTAACCAAACCGCGGCCTAACATAACCTAATTTAGCATAATAAAAACGTTCTTTGAAGTTTTTTCGGGTCACTGATGACATTGTTTTGTAATGGAATCATAATCCCATTTAGAAACACTATGGTGTCCAATGGTAGGTGCCACGGGGCAAATTTTAGTGCCATAATTGCAGTAATTATACAATATGGCTATCTAAAGTAATAAAATGCGGCTTTAAACGCTGGCAGGTTGCGTACGTATCAGAAGATGAAGGTGAATGAAGGGCTGGGAAGCAGTGACGTTCTAAACTCAGATGATGCTCACTCCGCGTTATCGGAAAACTGTCCTTATATTTATAAAAGCGCTTAACTGCAAAGACCCTCCAGGTCTCACTTTACCGTTCAATTACTATTAAATGGCCAGGNGCGTTGATAATGCCCACGTATGAAGTGGGCGAAACACGTGTCCGCTCAAATAAAATTATTTGTGGTAATTAGGGGTGAGTATTCCTTTTAATTTTTAATTAATATTTACCACAGTCTCCTCTTTCTAATTTAAAACGTAAAGTTCGTTATTTTTCAATAGGTTCTAATGAATACAACTTTCTTATAATTCGACGAATGCTCGGTCGGTTGGTCAATGCATTGGGTTTGACATTTTATAGTAGCTCATGTTTAGCCGTACTGTACAAGAGGAATATAATTGAATAAAAATTTTTACCAAACAAGCGATGTCCGTTTCAACCATACTAGAAGGGATAAAATCCGTTTAAGAGGAATCTTGTACGTGGAAAACAATCGCGAAGTCTCTTTACACAAAGCAAGGACTCGAAGACGACCTACGGCCAAGACAACCAATCGGCGTGACCTAACCTATGTTATAATATTTAGATAATATAAACACCTTAGAAAAGCCAACAGTCGTATTTGTTTTAAACCCTAAAATCTCAAGGCCACTGTTTAAACTCTTGAATAAATATTTTTATTGGCTACGTTACAGTCTTGCAGAAGCGGAAAGATGAGGTAAAGAAAGAGGGAAAGGGACAGGTATTGTTCGCATGGTCTTTTTCTCTCTTTCTAGAGAATGGTCACTTTCATGAGGNAAAAATTAAAGGATTAAGTAGTACTAACAATTCTGCTAATGTCAAGTATTTTCGAAGAAAAACTACATATTCATATCTTCATCTTCACCCGCTTCCTCAAATCTAGAATTTCAATAATCTGAGCCTTCATATATTAATGGATTTAAAGAAACGTAAAATTTTGGTTGCTTCTGGTTTTGCTTCATTCCCACCAGTTAGTAATGCTGGTGGATGGCCAGTCCCTCCGGACTACGGCCGTTAGGGGCAGAGCGAACGACCCTTTTTAGCCTCGTTTTAGGTCGTCGTGCGAACGGGTGGGTGGTGGTTGGGATGAGGCAGAACAGTCGGACAAAATGAAGATAGAAAAGAGTGGAAGATTATCTGTGATCCAAGGTAACCACAGAAAAACTTGAACCAGGCATTCGAAGCTGGGACCGAACCGGTGCCTTCCAAATGCTGAGTCATGATCTGAACCTCTAGGCTATGTCATAAGGTCCACCTCTCATGCATTTCGTGGCCCATAGGGTTTTGAAATGCCTACCTCTAGTTATCCTACCAGACTATATCAACTAAATTTTGCGGTTTTATTCCAAAACTCATTCCGAATAGAATGGTTTTGTCTTTTTACCTGAAATACATCAACTATTTTCCGTTTAAAGAATGTATGGATCAGGCTTTCAACTTTTGCAATTCCATAATGATTATTAAAACACAAACTGTTTAGTCGCAAATTATAGTCATTGTTAAAATAATAATTATTTCATAGAACACAGTGTCTTCTTCTGATTTAATAAATTATACTCTGAAATAATTATTATGGAAACAATAAATATAATTTCCAAATAATTTTAATTTAAATTTTATTTGTTTAGTTTCGTGCTGTTACATTATTTCTGTCGGTACGTTATTGATGTTCATGATATATTATGTACATGTTTACTAAAAAAGCTTTGTTCTTTCAAACTAAGAATATACGCCATGATAAACACATTTTAATTTTTGAAATGAGACAGAATGGAACTGTCTGAATTTTTAAAGCGGCTTCTGACACTGCAAAGTGTCACCAGCAACGTTGTGCTTGCATGAATATTAACAATTTCAAGAAGCGAGAAACTTTTGTCATTTTGTGTGCTTAATTTTTAAATTTCTGGTAAGATATTCTCCGAACCACAGGCACTGGCGCTAAATGACACGGAAAATGAGCTGCGGCTCTGTTGTTTCAAATGTGCATATTTTTGCGCTTTTTTGTTGGAAACTGACAGAAGAAGAAGCTTTGCTGTCTGAAGGACGCTTCTAATGCAGTAAATGTTCTCTTGACATTCAGACGACTTTTTTCTGTTCACTAAAGTTGTAAAAATTCCAACCGAAATTAAAGATTTTTTTAAATTAATTCTATTTTATTATTTATTTAGAAAATACAAAAAATTCATAAGAACTTAGTTGTACTTACTTAAAAAATAAAACTAGTGAGCTGTAACGTGTATGGAGACATACCAAAACCAAAACTGACTGGTAACAGACTTGAAAGCACCACAGTTTTGATCACTTTTTTTTTGTTTAATTTATCCTCGAGGAGGGGAAATGTTCAAGAGACAACCCCTGAAGGGGGTAGTGTCGGATTCGCCGAAGCGTCTACCGACTAAAGCCCCTCCTCGAGTAGGGATGTCAACCCGAAAGTTATTACTCCCAAAAGTTTTGATAACAACTCATCCCAACTTATATTACCCCCTTCTTTTGGCTGTCATGGTGGTACCTACTATTAACGAACATTACGATATCTTTTTCTAAGTTTTCAACAGATGGATAATGGTAATATGCCAATTTTATTCGACAAGTTGGCAATGCATAGATAAGAATGAATTTCATTTTCCAAATATAAAAAATTCACATCGTTGTTAGCAACAACCGTTTTATTTTTGAGATAAAAAGACTCTGAAGAAATCGAGCAATTTTTTCCATTAAAGGAAATTAAAATATGTATGTACCTATGCTGTACTTTTAAACAAAATAATAGAATTTTACGAATTCAGTAAGTTTTGATGAGTCCTAATAAGTAGTAGGTGATATAGGGTGTTCTTATTCCCAGCAGTTACTAATGCTGGAGGGCTAAAAGTATCACCGAACTACCACACAGGGTAAGGCGAAGGGCTCTCTTAAGTCTCCTTTTAGGAATTATGAGAATGGATGACTACTGGTTCACGTGAGAAAGATGAAACGAATAGAGAAGAATAGTAAGAGATTATCTGTGGAATGTTATTACTGACCTACCATTTGCCTAAGTAATTCAGGGAAAACTTGAATCACGTCAGATGGATCCAGAATCGAACTGGAATCCTCTCGAATGATAAGCAAGGGTGTAAAGCTTCAGGTCATGTCGCTTGGTTGTCCATCTGAATCAGCGACTCAGTGTACACATGGTGTAACATAAATAAGTAAGGAGCTTCGGAAGGTGCAATAAGGAATCGTCTAGTGAGTTCAACAGCATGCTTACGGGCAAAAGAAAACTGGGATGAACATTCTGCAACTACACCGATGGAGAATGTAAGCAGTGTCGGCTATAGAATATCTAAGATAAGATAAAAATGAATTAAATAAGTCAATTTGTTCATAGTTGACAGCTAGCAGTACTATATAAAAGTAGATTTCGCAGTCATTA